TATTTTTCCTTGAGAAAAAAATTTCGAGACGCTGATGAGAATACAGCACAATTATATAAATGCTAATTGTGATGTCAAAAACTTTTATTATTAACTTTAAAAGACTTAGCTGTTAAACAAATTGAATTTTACTGTAAAATTCCGAGATTCAATTGCTTATCACGTACAGAACAGTTGATAGACCAGAACAGAAATTCACTATCTGGCTCTATCATTGAATATTCCGTTTCGTTTCTTCTTTTTTGGGGGAGTCGATCTTGTCCGAGGAGTATTCTTCCGTAACTCGTTGTCGACGTCGCTATCGCCAAGAAGAAGAGAGTTCGCTTCTGCTCTGTTTGCTTTGCAGCCAATCGACAAGGCGATCATTACCGAGAGGTCCCAGATCGTCATTAGTGGGCAATTGAATGCACCGTGACGCGCGGCGAGGGAAGCAAACGGATGTAAGCCCGTTAGGCCGACGGACGCAATGCAGTTCTGCCGTAACATTCATTGCAGTCGCCGAGTCTCTCAAGCTCGAGGGATAAAATCGAGATGGTATTAACTGTGCGAGGTGTTAACGGCAGGATTGTGATACGTCTTGCAGCATATGGGCGTAATTAATTCTAAATAATATATACGTAACGATCTTGAAATGAATCGCCATTTTGCGTCAAAGATATTTTAACAAAATAATATTTCGTTTCGTTGTTAGCTAAATCGGAATAGATATATACTGAGAGAAAAAATTGTTCATTTAACTAAGTAAGTTTTAATTTAATTCGTCTTTATTTTTTTCAACGAAAAATGTATTTTCTTCAATGAAAGAGAAAAAGAACTAAACTGATTTAGTCAAATAAGTAATTTTTTTTCTCAGTGTATCTAATATATAATATATAATTTTGACGAAATTTTAACTTTCAATGTTAACTTCACGTGAAAGTAATCGACGCTAATTAGAAAATAAGACCTGGCGATCGCATTATGCTTCCTTAATTGTTCTTTCATTATATATTGCTCATCAACAACACATTATTTCGCAGAAATTGATATTGATGATCAACATCTTTATCTGCAATGAAGTATTATCTAACGATATTCCTCGGCCGATGATTCGCAGGATCGCAGGTGCATCCTGCTTTTGAAATTATCGACCGGAGATCCCGCTGGGCAACGAATTCGTTAACGAAAGTCGAAAAACAGCCGGTTACGAACGAGAGAAACAGACGCCGGACGGACGGCCGGCGTCTGTTTCTCTCGTTCGTAACCGATTTGTGATGCCGCGCGTTAATCGAGAAGAGGTAGAAGGAGAAGGAGACAGATAGAATGTAAGGGAGGAAAAGGATGCGCGCGATGAGCCAAAAATAAGAAGAGAGCAAAGTGGCCGGCTGGTCCAGTGGTGTCATGTGACCGGAAGTGGCATTCCTTCCTCGCCTCCCGTCCACCACCGCTGTCTTCCACAAAGTCTCAAAGAGCCAGTACCAGGCCTCCTTCTTTCATCTCCCCTTCCTCCACACCTCGTCCTCTTTCTCCACCTCCTCCTCCTTCTTCTCCTCTTCGACCCTCGTCCAGTGTTGTTATTTATCCCTTCCTCCACGCTCGAACGAACGTAGCGACAACGGAAGATTGTCCTCTCTTAGCGACTCGTTAAGCATGTCAAAAGACATCGGGGCATCACGAGGGACGTCGACAATGGATTTCCGCGTTTAAAGCGCGATGTCGGAATACTGTGAAAATCATACGGGCGGACCCCTTCCCCTTTTCCCTCTCCTCCTATACGTCCCAATTGACGAGCGCGGATAAAACGTGGGAGTCGCGCGATTGTCAATAAATCTGTTCTTTCTAGTCGCCCTATATACATAATATACCACACACATTTTCCGCGTATGGAAAGAGAGATCTATGACCGGTATTCATAATCAGTTCTTATTCAAAGCCATCTTAAGTAATGTCTTAAACGACTTTGTAATTGATTCATGCTATCTTAAAATTATTTAAGATGGTCTAAAATATAAGAATCGTTTATGAATATCGACCTATATATTTGGACGTCGGGAAGAAAAAAAGCGAAAGAAAGAAGTTATTGTAAAAACACAGTTGAAACACGTTTTAAATCTTGAAAAAATGTTATGTTTGCCTTATGTAGCTTTATTTTTTGCCTTTTCTGCATTCAAATCGAAATAAATATTCAGTCTCTACTACGTTGAAAAAAAAAAAGGATTATTGTAAAAAGATTGAATAGGAAACTTGACACGAAAGATTTAAATTGTGGCGATATTATTCCGTGACCTGAAAACGGTTGAATGAATGAATGTTATATCAGATATCTACATATATTTTCATCCTTCAACTGCTAAATTGCATGACATCGATCTGGTTTCAAGGTATCGAAATGGAAGTCCACGAAGTGACATAACGTTTTCATTCTTTCGATCCTCCTAAGCGATGTGTCAATGATCAAATAACATCGATGTCGAAATACCGAAATAATAATAATTCCGCGAAATAATTCCGCGAATCGATATAAGATTTCGCTTCCTTTCGCTTTCGAGTCGCCGCGCGAAACGACGCTTAGGCTTCTCGTTTCGCGTGGAGATGAAAGAATCGCGAAATAGCGTGATGCCTCCGCGAATCGTAGCGATAAGATGGACAAGATCCCTTTCCTATAGCAGTCGTTTCCGTTTTGCAATATTAGGATTGGAGGACGGAAAGGAATGCGACGGAACCCTCGCCTCTCCCTCATCGCCACCGCTGATGCCGCGCACCTTGTTCCTACTATTCAAAGGTCGCTGCGTGCCACTACGAGCACACACCACTGTCACGGACAAAGACCTTCGACGAGTCCAACTCTCCGGCGCGGATGTCATCCGCGGCGACGCTGAGCGAGTGGACATGAGCCTAATTTTAGGGGCCCCGCGCTTCGCGTCTGTCTAACCGAAGGGAGAACGAAGAAGAGGGCTAGGAGAGCCAGCGACTGCGACGGGCCGAGCGGAAAGAAGGAGACGTTTTTCTCGGACGAACGAAGTAGAGAACTGAGGAGCGAGAAAGAAAGAAAGAGAGAGAAGGAACTCGCGTACGGTCGACGTCAGCGTGATGTTTTCGCGACGGAGCCGGCCGCGAGTGTTCTATATTAAACTCCGGGCGGACGCGGGCAGACCTATTGCGAAACGGACGCCCTGATATTTTCGTTGCATCGTGCGAGTAACTGCTTCCGGCCGAGTGTTCTCTATCTCTCGGTCGGAGCTCTCTCTTTCTCTCTCTCTCTCTCTCTCTCTCTCTCTCTTTCTGCCTCTTTTTCTCTCATTATCCTTCTCTCTCTTTTCTTCGCTCTCTCAGAGACTCTCCTCCTCTATGCTCTTCCATTCTCTCGCTACCACTTCGTCATCACTCCATCTCTTTTTCTCTTCTCTTTCTTTCTCCTCGTCTCTCTGTCCCGCTTCGACCATCCTCTTCTGGATCGACGGGCGCAGACGGCCGTGCTTCTTCAGCCGGCCGGAAACACCTACGCACCCGCTGGTAGCGTGTGAGAGCGCTATAAGGTGGGACGGAGGCAATGGGATAAGCCTACTCACGAGAGATTGCTGTCGTCGACGACCTCCTTGCTTCTTGCTCTTGTTGCGTTTCTTCCTCTTTTTCCTCCCTCCAGCCTCCTCTCCCTCGCGCTGCCGCTTGCCTCGCCTTCTCTCCTTCCTCCTCTCGTCTTCATTTCCTCTCACCCCCCCTCGCCATCGAACCGTACGATGGAATTCAACCAAGTTTTTTGCGCCCGCGAATAAACACCATCGTACGATGGAAGACGGCCCACCCCGAAAGCTACGATCGGTCAACTCCCTCTCGATTTCTCCTTCCTTCGCTTCTATTCCTTTTGATATTTTATTTTCTATTTGGTTGATGAGAAAGAGAACTGAGGAGGTCATGATGATGTTTATGGAATACATCGGGCCAAAGCCCTTCGCCTGGAATCTAATCAAAATCTTATCCGAGACCAAGACCCAGCCGTAGTCTCTTCAATATTTATTCTCCAGACAGATATCCTTTTAATCTAGGGCCTATTGATTGATTGAATGATTTACCGTATAAATATGTAAATGTTTTTACATAATTCTTAATGTAAATGTTTTTACATAGTTCTTAATAGAAAAATATTGTATCGATGAGAGACTTCTCGCTAATTCGAATTAGCAAGATGAAAGGCAAAGGATTTTCTGCGCAAGATATGTACAATAGATTTGACCTTTTCAAGGTCAATAGAAGGGAACAATGGGGAGATCTTTATCCGACTTTAATTTTTTTTTATTCAACTTTAGTTAAGACATTATTTTTTCGACAAAAAATTTTAAGATGGTAAAAAAAATCGTTTATTTACTTTTAAGCTAAAATTGAAATTTTAATACGACGTATACTTAGATAAAAAGAAACAAAAAAGTAAAACGTAAAAGTAAAAAATATAATTATATTTTAATGCATCTATGAAATTAGATAATAAAAATAGTCGCAATGTTTTGTTTAAATATTGATATTGTATTATAAAAAGATTTTTCTGTACTATTTATATTTTTTTAAATTTATTTTAAGATAGAAGTATAAGCTATATTTTTAATTTCATAACGCTGTTCTACTATCGTCCCTATTTTATTTTTATTTAAACGTAATTTTTAATTCTCAAGGTTATTCCGAGATTGTGTCAGAGATCGTTTTTCTCATTACTGCTATATACAGTTTCACTCATGCAAAAATATTGTTAACAACAGTTTTATTTGGAAAACTTTTACTATAAATTAAATGAAAAAGAATACATAAAGAATATATATTAAAGTGACAAGCATGATTAAGATCAATTGTGAATTCTCAATATTGATTTGAGAAACAGTATAATTATTTCATTACTTTCAATTTTTAATATCATATTTATTCAAATGATGAAACAAGAATCAATGATCTATGTATACAATGAATTCCCAATTATTTTTTTACATCAATCGAAAAAAATAACGTTGTATAACATCAAAATCTTAACACAAAATTTAAGTAATAGAACTGTCTGCTGTATGTTCATCAGAATATATTAATTTTGTTTCAGTCATATTTTGTGCAGCTATATCTTCGTTTAATTTAACTTCTTCTTTTTCAGGTACCATAAGTTTGTCATATCGACTTCCAATTAATGGCAAATGAGGTGCTATCGTACTTGGTTCCAAAAAAAGTGCCGGGGAAACCTTACGAGGAAATAATACATTTTAGTTTCTATCATCCATATATTTGTTAAAATTGTAGCAGACCATATTTTTCAGCAAGGATATAGACAATTAGAGATATGCAAAGGTTTTTTGACTCTGAATTAAATCTAATTTTTTGTTTCGAATTCGAATCTAAGAGTTAATTATATATGTATCTTGAAATGAGATGAAAATTATAAAAGTAGTAAATTCATTAAAACATTTATAATTTTATTGAGCAACATCTAGTGTATATATATATATATATATATAATTAATATATGTATTAATATATGATTCTTATATTTAAACATCTCAAGCCGATATTCATAATTAATTCTTATATTTGAGAATGTCTTAAGTTCAGACTTAAGCTGTTATGAATCAATAAGAGAGCAATAGTATCTTAAGACATTACTTAAGATGGTTATAAAATAAGAACCGACTATTAATCATAGATTCGAAATTTTCGAATAATTGTGATCAGTGATTCAAATTTGAATCGAATCTTATTTGATTTGATTCGTATTCAAATAGTTCACACATTTCTATTCACAATGTAATACACAGTGAATTATTTCGTGTTTAACATTGATAAACAACAAGGTTACAATGATTCACCATGTTACTCTACTCCTTGCTGAAAAGTGTTCTTTAATTATTATTAATTTTAAGTTAATTAAATAGAATAACATGACATCTTACATTTTTATATATTTTTAACATACTAAATGCACTTAATCTTCATTTAAAATTCGATATAGAATATAATATCATTATGCTTACTTACACGGATATCTTGAACTTTAGCTTCTCGTGATGTAAACTCACGCAATAAATAATTTTTCCCAAATTCGTGGTAAATACGTGTATCATTTATTCTTAGCATTACATTATCAATTCTAAGAAAATACCGTAATAGTATAAAAAAACTGGTAGGCATGACTCTCTATACAAAAAAATTAAAAGGATTAACTTTGTTGCATGTTATCAAAAGTATGTGAGATAACTTACAATTTTGACTGAATTAACAGCAATGCCATTATCATGAAGTTCGTCTTCAAATAATGTTAAATCATGATAAAACATAATCTTATCCCTCTGTCTTAATTTATCTATATCAATTCTCTCATTTGTTTCTTCGACTTTGAAGCCAGATATTGTACCAGTATAATTAGTAGTAAATGTCCAATCAAAAGGTTTGATCTTTTCTTCTAAATATTCACTACTTTCTGATCTGTTGATATACACATGAATTAAAATTATTTATAACAACAGTTATTGCATAAACTTATTGGCCTGTATTCAAAACACGCATACAATGATGTTAGCACGCTATCATACTATACTTAACATCACACATATTATAGAATTTCAGAAATAAAAGCATTCTGAATATAGGCCATTAAATTTTTAGAATTATATTATTGTACATATATCTCGATTAAGTTTAGAATTATATATACCTCGATTCTTTCCAAGCTTCTGCATAAGCAAGCTGCACATTAATCTTTCCATTAGAAACATATCTTAAAGCATCTAAAGCATTAAATTGCAGCAATGCTCCATCTTCATGCTTTAGAGATAATACATTATTGGGAAACACCATATCTGGCATATGTGGCAATTCTAATGCATTATTATATCTGTAAAAATAAGAATTGCATTTCTAAGAATTCTGATGTTATAATATTTTTAAGATAACGATTAATGAGCAACATACACGCAAAATTGACAGGCATTTGTGTCATTGGTACCACAGCCATTCTCGCTTTTGGAACATTTAGAATGGAGTATATGAGATTGGGTGTACTTGATACGCCATGGAGGACAAATATGTTCTTCCTCGTTTACCGGTAGTCTTAAAATATCGATACCACCATGCACTTTTATAGCTGTCATTTTGATCCAAAACTGAGAGATCCTTGTTATGAAGAGAACCTGATTAGGTTAGGTAATCCCTGAAGGAAGAAGGGAAAAATCAAATCAACAATTAGATTTCTGATAATTATCATTCGTTTTAATATTTTCATAATTATAAGATAAAGATTAAATTTGTATATTAAACATTATAAATTATACATTACCAAATTAATTACCATTAGAATATTACCAAGCATTTATGTCTACTTAATATATCTATGAATATTTTTGCAATAAATTAAAATATCTTTTTTAGAAATATTAATGTTTTGTTCTTTGTATTGTTTTATTTTCATTATATTTACATTATACCAGATGATTTTAACAATTTGTATATTATTGTGTATCTTCTCTACGTCTCTACGTATTAGATAACCTCACTAAACTCTATCATGAACTAACAAGAATACAGTAGTTTACTGCTTACTCCAAGCATATCCAACTCATTTGTAGTTAAAGTCACTAGATTTATGGCCTGTTTATGCACTTGGTAGTTGATACTGATTCACAGCGCAATGCGCGTGCGCATGTAACCAAAATATGTTTTGATATGTATCGAGTTTGATGGATATCTTAACCTTCAAAATCTCGAATTTTAATATCTGATAACTTGTTTTACGAGACAGACTGCCGCATTTTTCTGTTGGATTCTTTCATTTCGCGTTGAATGAATTCATTTTTACTAAGATTTGGGGTGAGAAGGTATTCTAAATAAATACTAAAGTTTTACGTTGGACAAGGATGTCAATTATAAGACTGGTTGAAGACACATTTCTATTTGAAGGAAGATTATTCCTGCTTTATGCGCACCGCGCACTTTTGCATACAGATTTTTGCATCAAGAATTGAAAAAATATGTGAATTGTGCAAAATGGAACATTAGAGAGATAATAACGTTAAGCAAGAGACCTGCCCTGGCAATAGATGTGATAGAAAGCTCTTTTAAAACTGTCCAGCCGGAGGAATCAATAAAAAAAAACATCTCTTATACGTGTACATAAATAAATTTTTATCGTGATTATATCGCGACAATTTAAAAAAGATATGACGAAACATTGTGAGGTACTTAATTGTCCAAATCGAAATAAAGGAAAAGACAAGATTCATGTGTTTAGGTACATTTAAGAAAAAATAAGTTTTGATTAATAATAGATAAAAATGTGTATAAGTCAGATTGTATAATTTTAATGACATAGGCTACATTCCAAAATGTCTCCAAAGAAAGTTTTTATTCGAAATATATGTACCATATACTGTATATTGTATGTCAAAGGTAATTATACAGTTTACCTGTGTACTTTGAAACTTTTGAATCATAAATTATTCTGTGCTATAATTTAAATTATATAAAAAAAATTGTTTTTGATTAATTAAAGCAGAAAATTATTTATCATTAAATTATCACCAAGCAAACGTGACATAGCATATGTGTTATATTTAGTCGATATGACAGATTTCATAATTTGAATAGTCATCAACTTTAATAATCAATATCTTGATTCGCGGGTGACGCTTTTTTCTGCCAGATTGTTTCTTTTATACAAAAACACATTGAATAAGCCTAATGTCATTGATTTTTTTAATGCAACTAGTTAAACTATATGTAATTACCATATTGAGTAAAATTTTCTTCAGAGAAGATGTCTTGAAATATAGTCTTAAAAGACTGTTATGTTTAGTCTGCGATCATACCTTATATTTGTATATAAACATGAAGATTATGATGATATAAATAGCTCATGTATATATCGTATTTAGATAAAATTTAGATTAAATATAGAATTTAAGTTGCCAAATAAAACAACACACACTGCATTCATACTCAATATAATATAATACACTCAATATAATATACTCAATATAATACATTTCAGTTTTCCGCAAATAGAAAATATAGCAGCTAAATGGATTGAAGCAACCGGACGGAAAAAATTTATACCTAACAAATACAGTGCAATTTGTGATATCCATTTTAAATCAGAAGATTTCAGCAACACTACAAGAAGAGTACGTTTAAAACCAGATGTAATACCTACTAAAAATTTAATAAACAATTGTACAAGTTCAGGTAAATACATAGAAGATATATTTAAAAACATATATATGTATTATTATTAACTACATACACTAGAATTGTGGGTCTAAGTTAACTCAATCATGATTCAAAATAAATCTAGTTTTTCTATGAGAGAGGGTTATCACCATAAAAGTAAAATTAATTATGATTATTTATGAAGAGTTACAAAACTCTAAAACTTCATGTGCAAATTCAAATAAATTGGAAAAGAAAAGTTGTTAGATTGATCAAAAATAACACAAGTCACAGTTCTGTAGTGTTAAATATTACAATTTTGAAAGCCGTTATAAGCCAATGCAGATGTTAGTGCAAAAATAGATTATTTAACTATGAACGTTGAATATAAAACCGTAGACATTTTGATTATTTTTTTCTTCTTCAATATATTGAATACATAACTTAGCACAAATAATTGAGTAATTATAAAAAATATAATATCCGTGCTGATTATAATATTACGTAAATTCTCGGTCCAAAAATATCGTTGTATTTTATATTTACGCAATGTTTAATTAATAAATAATTTTACATTTTTGCATTAATATCTATGTTAGTTCATAATGGCTTTCGAATTTATTAAAGAATTTTTATTATAACTTTTATTATAAATTAAATATTTATAAA